GCCGGCGCACCGCTCTGGGCGCCTTCTCCGCCCGTCCTCTGTCCTCCGGCAGCCGGTGAGCGCAGCTCCTGACGCGCTCTTTTTTGTTTCCCCCCGACACGTTCTTTAAGCGCTGCCTGGGGCAGAAGCAGGCTCTGGACCTCCGGAACTGGATCTAGAAGCACCAACCTGTCCCGTAGCCGAGGCTGTCAGCGTGTTTTTGAATGTTTTTGATGGCTTTTTTTTTTTTTTTTTTTGCATGGGGATGGAGAGTCTTCAGGTTGAGCGCCCCTTAAGAAACAGACACCATCACCCCACATTGCCTTTCACCCCAAAATGCCGGCTAATTGGTGAGAGAGTGGCGAGCGGCGGCCTAAACCACCGGCTCCTGGAACGGTCTGCTCTTCTCAGACTGAGCAGCACTGGGGCTAGTGTGCCCCACAGTCACTCATCCATTCATTCACTCCTGTACTCCTCATGCAATAAGTGAGTGACTCACGACACAAGACTCGAAAGATCAGGGGGAAAACGGAAGGCCTGTCACAGGGCAGCGTGTGAGGTAGGTCACAGGTGGTCATCTGCCCGCAATGTCCTCTCCCCCTTCACGTGCGAACCGCCGACTGCTGTGCAAAGTCCAAGGGCTTCCCTGATTCCCCTCTCTGACTTCCCACGCGGACTCCATGTTCCATGTAGACTTTTGGCAACACTTGGACCCATAGAACTTATTCAAGGGCTGTCTCCCTAACCAGGGTATAAGTTCCTTTGCTTCACCTCTGGTACCCCAGAGCCTGGTGCAGGGTCAGAACCCAGATGTACTTGGGAAATGTTGTGAGAGAAAAGTGTGGGTCTCAATTGGGGGTGTTGGGGGAGGGAGAGGATAAGAGGGGTCAGCCTGAGTGATCATGCTGTTTTCTTGCAGGAGTAGGCATCTGATTTGAAGACCAGAAAATATTTGTTATGATTAGGTACAATGTGGGTGTAGTAAAATTATAGGCAATTTACCTCCAGTGGACCTTTCTCACTCCTCCCTCATTTCTCTTTACCAGGGGAAAAATTAAGAGGGGGAGAAGTCTCACTCTCCATCCTGAAATAGGAGGTTTGCAGAGAAGGCCACTTAGAACAAAAAAGGAAGTGCTGTCCGTGGACGTGGGCCCCAGAGACTGACCATTAATGACAGACCTATTCAGGGGTTGGGGGTAGCAGAATTCCGTGGTGGGAGGTGCCTGAGGCTTCAGCTATGGTATAATTACTGATCAAATGCAGAAAGCCATAATTATATTTACACTTCTGTAACATTCCCAAAGCTCTGAACTTCAAAATCCAAGCTAGATCTGATAGCTAATTAATATGCTCCTCACACTCCCGAGTTTCTTTTTGTACAAGAAGGCACAGGCTGAACTCATTAAAAAACATTCATCAGACCAGAGAAATAAGTTATGGGTAAGCAGGCACAGGAAAACTTATTTACAAAGCTCAAGGATTAAAAAACAAACAAACAAACAAAAAAAACCAACCCAAACAAAAAACTTGAAAAATAAACCAAAACTCCCCACCAACCTGCCAAGTTTTATTTTTTTAATTTTTATTTTTAACATTTATTGATTGATTAATTGATTGATTGATGGCTGGCCAGCATGGGGATCCGAATTGCCAAGTTTTAAAGAGAAAAATAATTCTAGTGTTTTAAAGACCATGGAATAGACTTAGATTTTGAATTTAAGGGGGTGGAAATTAAGTTTGATTACAAGCTTTGTGACAACTTAAACATGTTACCATGTTGACAGGCTGGGAAACTTTTCTGTTCCTCACAAATTCCACAGGTCAGGCAGAAAACATTACTAGCAGGAGGCAGATCGGGGTAAAGATTCGTGATTCTTTCAGCATCACAGTACCTCTAAATTCAGCTGTGTGCTTACTCAGCAGTGACCTAAGCCAGCAGCATAACATGATTTTTAAGCTGATGGCCCTGCAGTGTCTGGGCTCAGTGGGAATAGTTCAGGAAACAGCAATCATCGAAATGAAAATTAAGCAAAAATTAGTGTTTAACTTCATTGTCTTAGGCCCAGATTCCCCTTGTAAATCAAATGAAGATCAAGAATTGTACGTGAATCACAAAAATAGATGTCCACAGATTTGCTCCAAATATCTTTCCTACTTGCCAATATCCCTGAATTCAGCTCTTTCTTATTTTTTACAATAGAAAAATGCTCTGCTTCCACAGTGTGCTTCACAGCAAAGTCTGTAGGGCCGTCTTTCTAGAGCCCTCAATACATGTGTCCAGTGGTTTACCAGGTGAACCAATGGCTGACTGAGGGACGGGATCATTCTGCTCCCAGGTTGGGGGGCAGGACTGCCTTGAGTGTTCTCACTCATCATCATGTGCATTTCCAACTAACATTTACTAAGCTTTATTCAGTTAGGAAGCTTTGGTTTGCGAGTAACAGAAAACCCAACTCAAATTGCTTTGAGGTGATCCTGTGGTTCAAAAATATTATCAAAAATCCAGGTTCTTTTGCTTCTCTGCTCTGTTATCCATGTGTTGACTTCACGTTAAGGCTGATTCTCCTGTGGTCATAGGATGGGTCCTAGGGAGAGGAGTCAGACTAAGGAGCAAACAAAGTCTGGAGTCTCACTCTAATAGGCCAATCATTGTGGCCAGCACTGCTGCATTCTGATTGGTCTAAGTCTGGGCTAGTTCCCATATCATATATCATTGTGTACACACTTAAAAAGAAAAAGAAAAGTGAAATAAACTTGTTAAGGTATTTGTATTAGTTCTCTGTTGCTTATAACAGAATACCTGAAATGGTAGTTTATGAAAAAATGGAATTTATTTCTTACAGTTTTAGAGTATGGGAAGTCCAGGGTCAAGGGGACACCTTCTTCTTGGTGGGGACCCTCTGCAGAGTCCTGAGGCAGTGCAGGGCATCACGTGGTGAGGGAACAAGAGTGTGTCCATGTGCTCTCTTCCTCTCCTTATAAAGCCACAAGTCCACTCCCATGAAAACCCATTGATTCATTAACCCATTAATTCATGAATAGATTATGTCATTCATGAGGGCATGATCCATTCACCACTTAAAGACCTCACCTTTCAAATCCTTTAGTCGGATTACCCTCTTAATACTGTTGTAATGGGGATTAAGTTTAAATATGAGCCTTGGAGGGAACAAACATTCAAACCATAGCAGTGTTCCTTAGACATCCTCTCATTCAAAGTCCAACTCTTGTTTACCGTATTTAGACTCAGAAGCATCACGTGGTGAGGGAACAAGAGTGTGTCCATGTGCTCTCTTCCTCTGCTTATAAAGCCACAAGTCCACTCCCATGAAAACCCATTGATTCATTAACCCATTAATAAATGAATAGATTATGTCATT